CGCACACGCACACACGCACGCACAGACAGACACATGTGGGCGCACACGTGCACGTGCATACGGCAAGGCGCTACCTGCCCAGGAGACGAGGCGAGGGGAGGAGGTGAATGCAAGCTGGACGACGTGCGCGTGCTTCGGGTTGACGGACCGGAATTCCGGCAGCGAGGGGAACCAGCCCGTTGGGGCAAGGCCGCTGAGGATGGTGAAGTTTGCAATTAACGGCTGGCCGCCAAAGTACAGGCCTGCAACACAGAGCCCGTGATGTGGTGTGGCGGTGGACGCACAACGTGGCGCGATGGGGACGAATGGCGTTCTGTCAGTTTGGTGCGGATACAACCAAACATGCTGCACACGCACAAATCACACACGCTTAATGTGCGCTCAAAGCGTTAAAAGCAGCCCTCAACAGCACATGCAGCTTTAAGAATCGAATGTGCACATGTGTGCGTGTGTGTGTGTTTGTGTGCGCGCGTGTGTGGACCAGTATGTGTACACGTGTGTGTGTGTGTGTGTGTGTGTGTGTGTGTGTGTGTGTGTGTGTGTGTGTGTGTGTTCGCACTCTGTTGGCAGTAAGGGGAGAAGTATGGGCAGTCGCTCATGTTGAAGGCTGGTGGCCACGCGCTCGCGTGCGGTGTGTATGTGTCCAGGAAGACCGCCGCTGGAAGGAACACAGGAGAGCACAGTCACGTGCCAGTGGTGAGCACACAATGACAAGGCGAAAGGGCTTTGCGAGCGTGTGCGTGTGTGCGTGCGCGGTCTGCATGTGTACATGTGTGTGCGTGGGCGTGTGTGGCTTCGTGCATATGATGCTTTTCATGTTTGCATGTGTTGTACCAGCAGTGAGGTTGACCTTCCCGGCGCCTTGCTCAAAGATGGTGCTGAGAACCAGACAAACCCCATGCAAACGAAAACACATCGAGCAGTCGCTACATGTGAGCTACAGCACGTCTTCATCATCACATCACGAATCAAGATGCAATCAGACCGCGGGTTGATGTCATGATGTCATGTGTCGTGGTGGAGCAAAGACAAGGCAGTAACACCCACACCTTCCGTCGCTCAGGCGGGTGGCTGTGCTGAGCAGCGCTTGCTTCATGCTGGTAGGATTCAGCAGCCGTGGCCTGGACAGCGTGAGCGGGTACGAGAGTGTGTGCGTATGTGTGTTTGTGAGTCTGCGTGGGTGGGTGTTCAAGTGTGAACGAGACGAAAACCCACGTCAATATGCATCACACCGGCGCGTGCTGAGCGTGAACTCACTACAGACCTGTCTTCTGTTGGGATGATGCTTGCGAGCAATGCAACGGCACCCGTGACAACAGGAGAGGCGACACTAGAAGCAGCAATGCGTTTGAACACAGAAAAAACAGACACACGAACGACGTGAGACCCCAACGTAACCGCGGACAGGAGGTGAATAGGCGCAGCTAAAAGAATAACACTGACAACACACGTCCACATTCACCACATACACACAACCGCCACCACCATGACCATCACCCCCCATCATTACCACCACCACCATCATCATCATCATCACCACCATCACCACCACACCTGGTGCCTGAGAGGGTGCGGCATGCGCCGAAGATGCCTGGCCCAGCGACGTCTGTGCCGTATGTGACGACGTCTGGCTTGACACGCCCGTAGCCGTGGGGGAGCTCCCACAGGGTCATTCCTGGAGGTGTTGGGATGGTGTAAGGGTGGTGGTGATGGTGGTGTGATGGTGTTGGGATGGTGGTGATGGTGTTGGGATGGTGGTGATGGTGAGTGGTGGTAGACGAAAAGCAACATATCAAGGGACGAGGAGGACGGGAAAGGAAGGACACAGGGCGTGCGCGGATGTGCGCATGCATCTTCACGAGCATGAGCAAGTACACGGGAGCAAGACAGCCACACCTCTCGAGGAGAAGGGGGCGATTTGGTCCTTGAAGTCAATGCCACCAACGCCAATAACCTGAAGAAACGGCAGTGACATGACGCGGAAAACAAATATCACAGCACAGCGATGAAACAGTGTGTGTGCGTGTGTGTGTGCGCGCGTATGTGTGTACGTGTGTGTGCGTGCGTGTGTGTGCGTGCGTGTATGTGCGTGTGTGCGGTACACGGTGCTGCGGCGAAATCACAAAACCACACCAACACCATGCATGCACACACTCACAAACCCACACTCAAGACTCACACGCACATGGCATCCATACATGACCATTGACACACTTGTACACGAATACGACAACGCACGTTGTTCTGATCGCCGGGGTTGTTGAGGGTGCCGAAGACAGGGCCATCGTTACCGATAGCAGACACCATGATGATGCCACGTGCCGTGAGCTCGTTCACCTTTGCAACAAACGGCTCGTCCATAAAGTCTGGTCCGCCAATGCTCAGGTTCAGCACATGCACCTACAATCGTGTACATGCGTGCGTGTATGTGTGTGTGTGCGTGTGTGTGCGTGTGTGCGCATCAGAAAGAGCTGCCTTCCTCTCACAGTCAAGGTCGATTCGATTCAACAGCACACACGTATATGCACGACCACGCTCACGCACACGTAAGCACATGCATACACACACACAAAGCACACACACACACAAAGCACGCACACACACACACACAAAGCACATGCGCGTGTAGGCAGCAACCTTCTTGAAGATGGCGTAGTTGAAAGCGTCGAGGAACCACGAGGTGTAGGAGACCTGGGCGTTGGTGAAGACACGGTACACGTGCACGTGCGCCTCCGGTGCCAGGCCAGGACACCCGCGCGATGTGGACGCAACCACGCCCGCAACAAACGTGCCGTGCCCAATGCCGTCGTTAAGGTCGTCCTCGTCTGTCCAGTTGGTGCGCTCGTCCACGTGCGCAAAGTCCGGGTGGTCGGCGCCCAGGCCCGTGTCAAACACAGCAACGTGAATGCCCTGCCCCTTGTACCCGAGCTCCCACAGGCTGCGGGCGCGCATGGCAGCGACGAGGTTGCTGCTGTCGGAATCGCCACGGTCCATCAGACCGCGCAGCAGGTCAGATAGGCCCAGGGTGTGGCGGCGCTGTTGTTGTTGCTGCTGCTGTTGTTGTTGTTGTTGTTGTTGTTGTTGCTGCTGCTGTTGTTGTTGGTGTTCTTGCTGCTGCTCTTGTGCCCAGGATGAGGCATGGTGTCGCACATGTGGGCCATGCGAAGCAAACAGGGTACCTCGATTCACCTGCACGAACGAAGAAAGTAAAGGGTACCATGTCACAGGCACGCACACCGTGAGTGTACAAAGGGTATGACGTTGAACGCGTGCCGTCCACGTGGCTCAAGGAACGACCCACATCCATACACGCCCACACAATCATGAATATGCGAACACACTACGTGTCCAAATACACACGTATCCGTACAACCACACATGTCTGCACACAAGAACACGCACACAGCACATGCACAAGAACACGTACGTGCTTCTCTTCGGTGACGCTGGTGATGGATGGGTGGGATTGCAGCGCAGCGTGAATGGTGTCGCGATGGTGGAGGCAGCCGGAAATGTCAACAACAACAAAGTCTGTTGGAAACTCAAGTGCGCGGTTCCGCCGCTCAAGGATGGACCACGTGCAGTTGGTGGGCGGCGTAAGCGGCGCTGCTGAGGGTGACGAGCTGGGTCGTGCAGTTGTAGTGGTGTCGCCATCGGTGCTCTCGCGATGCTTCCCTGCACTCTGTGATTGTGTGGTAACTTGCGCAGCCAGCGTGGCGTTGATGATCCCTGCCAACTGGGTGTGGTTGGCGTAGCTTGTGAACATGACAATCAACTTCACCTGCGGCAACACCTCGCCACTCCTCACCTCCTTCTGCTCCTGCTCCGTCTGCTGCTGCTCCTGCTCCGTCTGCTGCTGCTGCTGCTGCTGCTGCTGCTGCTGCTGTAAGCTGGGACTTTGGCGTGGAGCTTGGCGTGGAACTTGGGTGCATTGATCAGGATCCAAGCACGCAGACGCGCCCCCATGACCAACACCACCACCATCACCCCAAGCCCCTCCCGCCATCATCACCACCATTATTGTCACCATCACCACCAGTGCCATTCCAAACACAGGCAGCAAGGGTCCTCGCTTTCGTCTTCTCTTCCATCTTGGCCCCTGCATCTGTCTCGACCTCACCACCGCCACCGCGTTCGTGTCTTCATCATCATCTGCCAGCGGCAAAGTTCCAATCGCGGTCATCGTCGTCGTCCGTCACAACCGACAGCACAAAAAATAATCGCCCCTTGTTCTCCTGCTGCTGCTGTTCTTGTGCACACACACACACACACACACATAACACAGCAGACAGCAGGTGCGTGCACGTCAACCCTCGACAGACCGACTGACCCTGTTGTGCTCTTGCTTCCACCATCGCTGCATCTGCTGCCGTGCATGGGCGAGGGTGCTGCTTCAGGCGTGATTGGGACTATGTGTGTGTGTCGCGTGTGGTGGTAGCAGTGAGGGCGGCAAATCTGTCATAAGCAGGAGCACACACTGCAGTCTTGTCGATCGCTGGCACACGCTGCATGTAGTTTGAACCAAACGCGCGCGCACTGGCGCCGCTTGTTGTTGCTGCTACCGCTGCTGGTGGGATTGAGGGGTCTTGTCCGTCTCACTGTGTGTAACGCTCTTGCGCTGGCTGACTTGCGACCCAGCTCTACATTGGAACAGCCATCGTTGCCACCAAGGACGCTGTCGAGCCGGCCATTGCTGGAGATATGAAGGACAAACGAGATGCGGAAGCGGCTGCACGGCAGCTCGTCCGCGATGGCAAGTTCAAGGAAGCCAAGGCACGGCTCGAGGCCATCAAGAGCGCCAAGGACAAGGACGCAAAGGTGCGTTTCTGAGCGAATCTGCAGTCCTCATGTCCCGCTTACTTGCTGTGTCGATTGACCTGCTCTGGGCGACCCTTGCAGATCATGGCTCGGCGGGCTGATATCCGCTGTGCTCGACAATAGCACTTGTTCTCATCAGTTCATGTTGTCATGCTGGTCACCAACCACACGGCAGGTCAACCACAACTTGGCTGTTCTCAACTTCTTGATCAGTGGAAAGCAGAAGCATGGGCAGCTGGAAGCCGAGCTGAGCCAGATCATCACCAAGGTGTGTGTGTGTGTGTGTGTGTGTGTGTGTGTGTGTGTGTGTGTGTGTGTGTGTGTGGTAATCGTGTCGTGCCTGTGCTGCGTCGTTTCCTTGAGTGCGTATGTGATATGAAACGGATAGGGATATGGTGCGTGACTCGTGCCATGTCAATGGCCTTGTGCGACGCCTGCTTCTCCGCTCAGTCCACTGACGTGCTGTGCGACGTGACTGCTTGTCGACCACCCCTCATTGTTTCGCCCTTCACTTCCTTGTTGATGTGCCTGTGATTCTTGGTCGAACCAGTGTGCCGAGCAGTCAGAGTCCATGCCAAAGGACCTGCTTGACCTGATCCTCTTCCACTACAACCGCGCAGTTGCCCTCTATCAGGTACAGCCAACAGCACACTGTGGCCAGCGCACACATCAAAACACACACACACACACATACACACACACAAATAAGCACACGTACACCCGTATCGACACACGCGCACACGCACACGCACACACATCGACATACACGCATGTCAGCAGACGCACTTGTTGCACTGGTGTGCTTGGTCCAGCTGTCCATCTTGCTTGCGTGTAACGGGTGCTTGTCTGCGGCGTTGCATCATCACAGATGGCCGACTTTTGGCGGTGCTGTGAGAGCGCCAAGGAGGTCTTTAAAATCTGCAAGAACAAAGGTGGGGGTGGGTGGCGTTTATGCATTCATTCCGTGTGCTGTTGACGCCGATGCTAGGATAACACGTGTGTGTCTGTGTCTGTGTGTGTCTGTGTCTCTGTGTCTCTGTGTGTCTGTGTGTGTGTGTATCTGTGTGTCTGTGTGTGTGTGTGTGTGTGTGTGTGTGTGTGCAGCCCACATTGACCCAACATGCTACTCACTGCCAATTATGTGTGCATGTGTGCGCAGAGGTTGTGAAGCGGCGGCCCGACATTGCGGTGATGGGCTGCTTTCTTCTCATCGAAGTCCTTCTCCTCCTCAACCGGGTCTGTCGACGTGGTGGTGCAACAACGGGCGCTACACGAGTGTGCTTGAGTGTGCTGGCACATGCGCGCCTCTTATTGTCTGTCTGTGCCTGACGTTGATGCTTGAGCGTGCTTCTCACCAGCCAACATGTGTTTTATGTGTATGTGCTTGCGTGTGCGTGTGTTTTCAGGTGGACGACTGCGATGCTGTGATGCAATTTCTCCAAGACTTTCCCACCCAATGCTTTGGTTCGTTTGCGGATGGTTGCGTATATGTGTGTGCAGTGTGTTTGTGGTGCTTTCAACACTCAATGCGAGCTGTTTCAGAGTGTACACGTTCGTGTGTTTGGTGTGTGTGTTTGGTGTGGTGTGTGTGTTTGGTGTGTGTGTGTGTGTGTGTGTGTGTGTGTGTGGTTGTGGTTGTTGATCAGAATTCTCACGTCGATGACGGCCATTGCCACTGCGCAGAGGAGCCAGCGGAGCAGGGGTCGCCGTCACCAGCTGTCACGCACACGTTTCGCATCAGACAGGTGCGTGCGACTCACGAGAACTGGGACATGTACACGTGCAGTGTGTATGCTGGTCAAAGTCGTATCATCCTGTTGACCCGTTGTCACGCCCCCTGTGTGTGTGTGTGTGTGTGTGTGTGTGTGTGTGTGTGTGTGTGTGTGTGTGTGTGTGTGTGTGTGTGTGTGTGTGTGTGTGTGTGTGCAGTTTGCAGCGCGGATTGCGCTGGCTCGACGCAACTTCCGCACGACCAAGACGGAACTCAAGGCCGCCCTCAACCTCAAGAAGACGGTGTGTGCCAGCAAGCGCGCGCTATCAGTGGGACCACCCGTGCATGTGGCGTGTTCGTGCCCCCTTTCCCTCTCCTTGTGTCTTACACGTTGGCTGAACCAACCAATGGGTTGTCGTGGGTGCATGTCTTGCTTGCGTTTGCTCTGCAGGACATTGTATCCATGTTTCTGAAGAGCAGCCAGGAGTATCTTCGCGGGTATTATTCCCGCAGCACCAAGCTCCTCACCAGCTGCGAAAAGCCCGAGGTCAGTCCAGCAGATGGGTACACACACACACACACACACACTATCACACACACTATCACACTATCACACACAACACGCACACACGCAATCACAACAATCACACACACACACACACACAATTAATCGCTCATCACTGTTGTTGGCTGCTGATTCACTCACGGTCCGTCGCACACGGCGTCTTGCATCCACTCGTCCCTTGCAATCCACCACCATCACCATCACCACATGGGGTGTTGCGTTGCGTCTGCAGCCGACTGACGGCGGGCAGCACCTTGGCGTCATCTTCTTCAACAACATGGGCGTCATCCACCTCAGGGTGCGGCTTCACACACGCACACACACACACACACACACATAGGATGATGATTTGCACATCTCTGCTCGGCTGCAGTTGGCTGCTGCTCGCACCTTTCATCCACGCTGTCTTCCTGCAACCTTTGCACCACCAACTTCACATCCCCCCCCCCAATGGTTCATCCTTGCTTCATCCATTGCAGCTGGAGCGGCCGAGCCTCGCCATTGCGTATCTGCGGCAGGCCGTCGACCTCAATACCAAGCACTGTGGCAGAGCCAAGGGTGCGTGTGCATGTGTGTATGTGTGCACGTGTGTACGTGTGTGTCGTGTGGCGTGTTGTGTGTTGTGTCGTATCGTCTTCAGGCACCCATCTCACGTTCGTTGCCACGACTCTGCGCGTGTTTGTGCGGAGTAGGCACGCCGGCTGGGACGCCGCACAGCGTGTACGACCGCAACGAGGAGCTGCTCTACAACGTTGCTCTCGCCCACATGCAGATTGCAGACTACCAGCTCGCGTTCTCGGTACCGCCAACGCTGCATGCTCGTGTGCATGTGTGTGTTTATGTTTATATGTGTGTATGCAGGCGAATCATTCCCCCTTTCCCTTCTTCTTCATCTTCTTCTTCATAACGAGTTGCGGACCTGCTGCGGATTCACGGCCCAAATCGCACGTTGCTGACCCACGCATGCATGTGCCTTTGTGCGTGTGTGCGTGTGTACGTGCAGTTACTGGACCAGCTTGCCCCGTCGTTTGGCCACAGCCCCACGTACTGGCTACGCATGGCAGAGTGCTGTGTCGGCCATTACGCAACGCAGCAGGTGCGTCAATCGCGGCACATCGTGTTGAGACGCGTTTGCGTGCATGTTTTCGTTTTGTGTGTATTGTACGCGTGTCTGTGCATACGCGTGAACGTACATGCGCAACTGGCTCGTTGCGAGTGCTCGGCTTTGTCTCACAATCCGTGTGTTCTGCCGTGTCCTCCATCCTGCCATCGTTCCATTTGCTGCCTTGTGTGCACGTGTGACATGTGTAGGCGGAGTCGTTTGGAGCACCGCCGCACGTGTACGGCCTACACAACACGGGCATCCACCGCAGGGCTGTCCTGAAACGCGCGTTCAGGTGCGCGCGTTGGCTTGCTTGCAACGTGGTGCGGCCATCATAGCCACTGATGCGGTCATGGCGCTGTCGTACTCACCCCAAAGTGTTTTGTTTTTGCCTTATCGACCGCGTAACTTCCGTACACACACACACACACACACACACACACACACACACACACACACACACACACACACACACACACACACACACACACACACACACACACACACACACACACACACACACCCACGAACCTGCTTGCGTAGTGATCGTTGTCCACTGTGAGAATGTCGACGGGTTCGTCTGTGTCCTCCTCTTTCGTCTTGTCATCCTCAGTCTCTTCCACCTGATGATGACAATAATGGTGGTGGTGGTGTGCGGATGGATGACGATAGTCATCGTGAGGGTGGCTGATGGGAAGAGGAGGCACACCCGCAGGCACACCCGCAGGCACACCCGCAGGCACACCCGCAGGCACACCCGCAGGCACACCCGCAGGCACACCCGCAGGCACACCCTCTACACAGAGGGCGCCGAGCTGTACACGCACACAGCGTCACGTACAAAGTCGAATTCGTCTTCCCGCTCTTCATACTCGACGTTCTCCTCAATTTCCTTGAAATCTGGAGCAAAAGCGGACCAGTTGTCCTGCATACATGCAGAGAGAGGCACAATCACATGTCAGCAGACGCGAAGAGCAACGAGGGAAAGAGAGGTGATGCGTGGACGATGAGGACGCACAGGCCAGACAGACCGACGAGGGAGCGAGGGAGCGAGAGAGAGACAGACAGACAGACAGACAGCCAGACAGACAGACACACACACACGCACACACAACACGCAACACACAGCTCTCTCTCTCTCTCTCTCTCTCTCTCTCTCTCTCTCTCTCTCTCTCTCTCTCTCTCTCTCTCTCTCTTTCTCCACTGCACGTACGCTCTGGCTGACGGTCCACACGTGGATGGAGCCAAAGTTTGAGATGGCGACGAGGACGGGGCGTATGGGGTGCCACTGCACATTGCGAATGTGCTCCTTTGGCCCCTCCATAATCTTGGTCAGCACACCCTTCTCGCGGTCCCACACGTTGATGGTGTGCTGGTTGGTGTCCGCCGGACAGCCAATGACATAGTTGCCGTTGGAGCTGAAGGTGACGTGCTGCCACGGCGTGTGCGTCACCTGATCTGTAAACTTGTTCACCCGCTCCAGCGTGTGTGCACTACAAAGCGGGATGGAGTGTGTGTGTGTGTGTGGAGTGTGTGCGTGTGTGTGTGTGTGTGTGTGTGTTTATGAACGTGTGGTTGGTCGTTGTGACACGTGAGACACACATGAGAGGATGAAGAGCTCATGGTGATGGCGCGACGCTGTGTGGGCCACGCATCTGCCGTGTGTCATTGCAAACACACACACACATGCACACGCACACACACACACACATACACCCAAGCACTCACTTGACGACGATAACGTGCTGGCTGTACCGGAACCGCCATCCAGCGATGACGTCACCGAAACTGCCCCCGCTGCCGACGCAGAGAGGGACAAGAACAACGACAAGGACAAGGGAAAGGACAAGGGCAAGGACAAGGACAACAGCGGCAGCAGCACCAGCAATAGTGGGAGCAAGGCGACGAAAAAAGGCAAGAGCAAGGGCAAGGGCGCAAGCACGGATGCCAGCGCTTCGGACGCGCCACGAGAGCCCCAGCCGCAGCCAGCACAGTCGTCTTCGTCGGTGTCGGCTGCATCTGCGTCTTCTTCGTCACCGTCATCGTACTGGTCCTCACGGCTGGGTGAAATCAGCTTCAATGAAGCAAAGGTGTGTGTGTATGTGTGTGTGTGTGTAAGGGTGTGTGTTATTGTGTGTGTGTTATTGTGTGTGCGTGTATGTTATTGTGTGTGTGTTATTGTGTGTGTTATTGTGTGTGCGTGTATGTTATTGTGTGTGTGTGTGTGCGTGCGTGTGTGTGTGTGTGTGTGCTTGAAAACCGAGCAACTGAGCCTGCGCTTGCTTGGTTTTGGTGGCTGTCACCCCCAGCTCCACCTTGTGACTCACCCAATGCAACTTTGGCATGTGCGTTGCTGTCGTTGTTGCAGGCGTGCGTGCACCTGTGCCGCGCCGCCGCTCTGACTGATCTTCGAAAGCATTCCGAAGCGGCGCACGAAATCTCAGAGGTACAAACTTGGCGTCCTGCTCGTGTGTTTGTGAGCGTGTATGTGACTGTTTGCGTATGTGGACCGCTCGCATCAATATCGAGCCTGACAACACCACCACTATCCCCCACCGCCGGCGCCAACACCACCGTGCTAGGCGTCGGGCCTGCTGCGCGACACCTCGGCCACTGCGCTGATTGCTGCTGCTGCCGCCGCGGCGTCATCGTCGTCGTCATCATCAGCGCCCTCCCCGCCACCGCACCAGGCGCCAACAGCGGCAGCGGCGGCCCTGCCTGCGTCGTCGATTGCGTGTGCGCGGAGCATGACGCCTGCTGCCACGGCCATTCGCGTCGCCGCGTTTCTCCAGCACCTCGGCCTCCTCTACGCAGTCGGCGACTTTGAGGTGTGTGTTGTGTTTTGTGTGTGTTTTGTGTGTGTGTGTGTGTGTTTTGTGTGTGTGTGTGTGTGTGTGTGTGTGTGTGTGTGTGTGTGCTTTGTTGTGCTTTGTTGTGCTTTGTTGTGCTTTGCTTCATCGGCTCACCTCCTTGCCCCCTTGCTTGTGCTTGGCATTGATGTCACAGGCGCTACAAAAGGCCGTCATGCGGGGCACTGTTGCCTGAACTAGAACATGGTTATGGTGGCGATAATGCTGCTGGGCTGAGTGCTTTCTTCTCTTTGTCTGTTGATGGTTCTCTCGACGTGTGCACAATCAATCAATCAATCAATCAATCAGGTCCCCGTCTTTCTTTGTTGTCTTGGTTCTACACAGCACGCCACCGCGGTTCAGATTGTATGATCCACACTCAAATTCTTCTCTGTCAAGGTCATTGTTCATCGTGTACTGTCAGCGCGTGCAATAACACCGGCGCGACCAACACTTCAAGCAAACACACACACACACACATAACGGGACGAGGGGCAATGGTCGAGTTGATGAGAAGTTGTTGTTGTTGTTGTTGTTGTTGTTGTTGTTGTTGTTGTTGTTGTTCGCTGGGTTTAGGCAGCAATGGCTGCGAGATAATCCTTGATTTCGGTTGGCTGAATGAATGGGAATGAGCAGGGCGGCACGAAGCGCAATAGATAGGATTGGCAAGTGAGCGGACGGTACTCCACTTGCCTGCAAGCATGGGATGCGCGCGGTACAGCTTGCACCACTTCAGTCAGTTGATGACAACCCACGCCAGCCGTACGTCAAACACGCACTCATGCACCACATACACGCGTGGTGTCACATTGACATCAACCATGGGGAGTCGGCTGGAGGTGTACCTCGAGACGTCGGAAGCCTGCGCTGTCGGCAATGCCAATCTCAATGTTGTTCTCTGTCATCTGGCCCTCAAAGCCCTCCTGCACACGCAGACAGACAGACAGACACACGCACAAACACACACACACACACACACACACACACACACACCAACCGCAGCCGTCTTGGTTGTGAGAACAACAACAAGGACAACGAGGACAACGGGGGACAACAACGACAACAAGGACAACCCAAAACATTCTTCTGTGTGTGTGTGTGTGTGTGTGTGTGTGTGTGTGTGTGTGTGTGTGTGTGTGTGTGTGTACGTGCCTTGAGAGTGAGGATGGCTGTGTGGACGGCGTCCTCAAGCTCCAGCTCGTCGTTGTACCGCTTCTCCAAAAACGCCTTTGCGTTGATCATGTTCCGCCCCAGCGCTGTTGCCTTCCACGCAAAGAACGACCCCTGTCGCCCGCAACGCAGTGCAGTTTACGCGGATGATATTGTGTGTGTGTGTGGTTGTTGAGCGAAGAAGATGTGCAGGACATCGATGAATTGAATTGGCAACACCCTATATCAGGCATGTTCACGCACTTCGCAGAACGCTGTTCTCCAACAACACAGACACAGACGCAGACACAGACACACACACACAAAGACACAAAGACACAAACGTACGCTTGGGTCGACTTGGTAGAGGGCGGGCTTCTCTGTGTGCTGGTCAAAGCCGACGACGAGCAGCGACACGCCAAAGGGGCGCACGCCACTGCACAAGGCATGGTGCAGACAGCAACATAGCGCAAGGCGAGGTGAGATGGTTTGGCGGGGTGACAGTAAGCTTGGGCGACAATTTCGCCTAATTCATGCACACAAATACAGGCACAGACACAAACACAATGACAGGTACACACGCACACACACGCACACCACACCACACATATGCACACCCACACGCACGCACACATACACACACACATATGCACACACATACCACCACACACATATGCACACACAGACACACAAACACACACACACCTATGCACACACAGACACACAAACACACACACACCTATGCACAAACATACATACATACATACATACATACATACATACATACATACATACATACATACATACATACATACATACATACATACATACATACATACATACATACATACACACACTCTCTCTTCTCTTTTCTCTTCTCTCCGCCTCACTCTACATCTCTTTCTCACCCGCGCTGTGTGTACTCCTGCATGACGTTTGCGAGCTCGCGCACGAGCATGCGGGTGGGAATCTGTTCCCGATAGGTCATGAAGTACTGCTGTGCAAGCTTGCGGCCCTTGGCCAGCAGCACCCTGCATGCACGCAATACACCATCGAACCAAACGTGTGAACGAGGGAATTGCATGTGGAATACATGAACGTATCAGCCTTTTGCGTGTGCTCGTGTTCCAATGTGTAAAGGAAAGGCTGCACACTGGCAGCAGCCGGGTCGAGGGGCGCGCGGTAACAGAACCACGCAACCATGTTACGCGCGCATACCCACCGCTTGTCGGGGCCCATGCCGGAGTACACCATGCCGATACGCTCTGTCAGCTTGTCAACCTGGGAGACATCACCAAGCAAGGTTGGTGGTTTTGTTGTCGACAGCCAAGGTTATGTGCAGTTGAGATTGTGGGGGAGGAGTAGAAGTGAGCAAGGCAGAGGGAGGGGGGAGTGGAGGGGACGCAAGAAGTGATGCAGGGAGGAGAATCGAGGCAGTGCGGCCACAGTGTGCGTGGGCTCGTGGCGATCAAGCATGCCTCGCACCTTTGTGATGGACTGCTCGTCGACGAGGATGGAACCCATCTTCTTTTCCGATGCGATCACAGCGCCCTCAGTGGCTGCATATTGGGAGCGCAACACAGTAGAAAAGCATGATCATTCCCACACTCTTTTCGCGGCAAGCGCTTGTTCACAGACACACGCAGACACACACACACACATACAAACATACACACGCTATAAACACATATACGCACGCTACACATGCTACACATGCTACACATGCTACACACACACACACACAGACACAGACACGCTGCGCGCCACAACGAGGAACGTACTCTTGATGCCGATGGAGGTGGCACCACCCGAAACAGCTTGCAGTGCATACTCAATCTGCACCAGCTTTCCCGAAGGGCTGTATTGACACACAACACACAAGGCAGCACAAACACACACACACATCAGCTGCCGCGGGTGCCCACCATCGAAAACACACACACATGTCACAAAGCACGGAGCACAGAGCATGGTGTACGTGCAAGAGATCCGCGTGCAAGGCCTCTCCGCTCCAACGCACCTGAATGTGGTGAGACTGAAGTTGTACTTCTGTGACATGGCTGCTGACTGTGTGGATGGGTATGTGTATGTGTGTGCTTGTTTGCACTGAGACGAGTGCTTGTTTGGCTGGCTGGCTGTGTCTCGGTCAGCGGTCGTTGGTTGTCTTGCTCTGCTCTGTTTGAGTGTCCACCGAAAAAACTGTACCCTGAATTCAGGATACTACATTTCATATGGTCGCATACAGCTACTCCAAGCCGCCGCTGCTCACCACAAACCTCTCCTCGCGCACGGCTGCCCACACCCCACCACACACCTCTCCTCACACCACGACCACACACTCGACTCCGTCATGAGCGGGGAGCTGGGTGCTGCTCCTCCTCCTTCCAGGTTAGATGGCACTACGGTGCCGTCAAAGGAACAGGATCGCACGGCAACGTACATTGCGCTGTACATGACCAGCGCGGTCTGCGCCATTGTGCTGGCGCTCATGGCGGAGCTTCGGTCGTGGGTGTCCCTGATCCTGCTTGTCAACGCGCTCCTGTACTTGAACCTGGGCGGCGTGGTCGCTGGCTCGACTGCCCGGCGTGTGCGGTACCTGGACCCAGCCTTCCCCAAACGAAACATGCTCACGCTGTTTCTCGTTGGCGCCTTGCAAGTGGTCCACTGGAGGACGTGCAGCCACTTGTTCTACCACACCCACGTGAAGCTGTGGCTGCTGGATGCCGTGGAAGCTACCTGCGTCACCTTGTACTTTCTGTACGTTCTCTGGCGCGCCCGAAGCCCTCGCTTCAACATCCGCATCCTT